TGGACCTTGGCAGTCGTTCTGCCTCTGTCCCTTCAGTCTTGAACCTTAATATATTCTCAAACTATGAGGGGAGTGTGTGTGTGCTGAGCCTTCATCCAATATAGGAGTCCCCCCTTATGGGGAGGGTACTTCCAAGACAACCCCCCCCCCCAGCAGTTGCCTGGAAGCCGGGGTTGTACCAAGCCCTGTATATACTGTATTTTCTTATATATGTATACCTATGATAAAGTTTAATTTCTAAATTAGGCACGGTAAGATTAACATCAATAGCTAATAAAATGGACTATAATATACTGTGATAAAAGTTTTGTGAATTTGGTCTCTCAAAATATCGTGTTGTACTGTATCACCCTTTGATAAAATGCCTACCTTGAGGTAACTTACAGCTGCTGTTGACCTTCTGACCATGTCAGGGCAAGGATCACCTGCTGCTGGGGTCCTGGATCATCAAGCTGTGAGGATGTCATGATTGGCAGTCAGGAGCGGATGATGTGGATGGTTGGGGAAATTTATTTATTTATTTATTTTAAATATATCTTTATTGATTTCAGAGAGAGGAAAGGAGAGGGAGAGAGAGAGATAGAAACATCAAATAATGAGAGGGTCATTGATCGAGCCCGCAACCGGGCATGCGCCCTGACCGGGAATCGAACCCCGATCGCCTGGATCCTAGGTTGACTCAACAGCTGAGCCACGCCTGGCCGGGCTTGGTTGGGGAAATTTAATACTGTATTTGTAGGGCCATCGTTGACTGTTGGTAATCGAAATCGTGGAAATCAAAACCGTAGATAGGGCGACTACTATATTCCCTAGAGCATGCTATTCAGTCAATAGTATCATTCATTCAGATGTTTATTAAACATCTACTATATACCAGGAACTGTTCTAAGTGTGGGATATAGCAGCAAAGAAAACAGGTCAAAGTCTCCAACCCTCAAAGAAAGATGGACAGTAAAAGAATGAACAAATGAATATGTGATGTAGAAGAAAGTAATAAAAATGCAGTGGCAAGTAAGCAAATTTAAATTAGCGTCTCCCCCTTGTTCCAAAATGTTGTAGTCCAGCCCTCTCTAGTTATCTTTTGCTCCTGTGATTGTCATAGCCTGTTACCCAGGACTGTAATTGGGGCAACTTGCAATTACTAATAGTGCCCCCTTTTGTTCTAAGAAGTGCTCCATTTTGTAGGATAAATGATATGGTGGTCACCCTACCTAGCCCACAGTCCACTCACAAGTTGTGAGTCCCAAGGTCTGCAAACACGCCTGGAAGAGTGGCCATTCATTCAGAAAGGAATTGCTATGGCACAGCAGGCACGGGGCTAGACCAGGAATATAATGGGGGTGGGGCATGGTTCCTGTTCTCATGGAATTTAAATTTGGCTGGGAGGCAGAATCAAATCCCACTAGTAAAGAGATAAGCTATGACAAGAGCGAACCTTACGCAGTATCACTGGCTAGAGCATCACTGAACTTTTCCCTGAAGAAGTTTTGGAGAGAGATTTGAAGAAGAAAAGCAATCCATGCACTGGAACAGATGTGCAAAGGCAGTATAGGAAATGAAAGGAGGTACACAGGAGCATAAAGCTAGAGAACAGGAAAAGGAGACTGGAGAGCAGGCTGAGTTTATAGCAGGGAAGCCTGGAACGCTGACTGTTGGCTTGCTAGGGCTGTTGTAGCAGATTACCACAGTATCAGTGGTTTAAAATGATAGAAATTTATTTCACAGTTCTGGAGGCCAGAAGTCTGATATCAAGGTGTTGGCAGGGCCACACTCCCTCTGAAGTCACTAGAGGAGCATCCTTACTTCTTTCCGTCTCTGGTGCCTCCAGGCATTCTTTGACTCTGGCTGCATACCTCTCATCTCTGCCTCTATCTCACATGAAAGGAGATAAACAGGAGCATAAAGCTAAAGAACAGGAAAATGAGACTGGACACTTGTCATTGGATTTAGGGCCCACCCAGGTAATCCAGGGTAATCTCATCTCCAGATCCTTAATTGTATCTGCAAAGACCCTTTTTCCAAATAAGGTCAGATATGGGGGGGTTAGGACTTGGGCAGATCTTTTCTCCGTCCACCATTCAATCCACTACATTGACTTTGCAGAGGAAAGAGAGTTGATTTGGTGGGAAGTGAAAGTTATTAATACACCCATTCCCTGACATGTTAAGTGGCATAAAAATTCATTAGACTCTATGTAACTATGAACTATTTAGTTTAAAATATATGTATCTGCATGTTCATGTATAAATAGATTTTTTTGCTCTGGCCGGGTAGCTCAGTTGGTTAGAGTGTTGTCCCAGTATGCCAAGGTTGCAGGTTCAATCCCCACTCAGGACACATCTGAGAATCAACCAATGAATGCATAAATAAGAGAAACAATAAATGGATGTGTGTGATTTTCTCTCTCTCTCTAAAATCAATAAATAAATTTTTTTAAATTAAAAAAATATTTTTCTAGGGTCTTGCCCTGAGCGGGAGCCTCGGGGCATGTTCGACTTCCGAGGCGTGTTTGAAAACTGAAGCATTTCCTTCTGGGTTTAAGGTGTTCATAAACCGAGATGTTCGTCAACTGAGATGTTCGAAAACCGAGGTACCACTGTACATGGGATTACTTAACTTTAAAGTAAAATTTAAAAGTTTATGACTTAGTCACACTAGTCACATTTCAACTCCTCAGTAGCCACATGTGGCTGGTAACAGCTCTAGCTCTATCAGTTTTCAGGAAATACAGAGGACCTTTCATTCCCCCTTCAAATACTGTATCCATTGCCTCCAAAAGTGTCCAGTCCTCATTATTATTATTTTTGTGATAAGAACACTTAAAATTAGGTCTACTCTCATAGCAATCGTTTAATGTTATCAACTGTAGGCATTATGCTATACAGTAGATCTCTAGGACTTACTCATCTTGCATAACTGAAACTTTATACCCATTGACCATTTCTCTCCAGCCATTGAACCAACTAGCACTGCTCCATTTTAAACATAATTAATGGTCAGAGACTTATTTTGTGTCATAGTAACAAACAGGACATATTTTTAAATGTTAACGCGTAAGAAAGACTTGGCTTGGCTCTCCCATCTCTTCTGGACAGCCAGAACTTTCCTCCAGTGTCTCTTCCTTCCTTCTTCTGTTTCCACCTTGTAGGAAAGGCACTTCATGCACAAGACCTTCTGAACATTGTAATAGTATTTTCCTAATCAGTTTTATTGGAAATTTGTAGTTTGCTTCCTGTTTCATCTTCCATCATGCCTCCAATGACTAGGTGTTTATTAATTTTAGACCACACATTTTTTATTTATTAATGACTCTTCATTACTACATCTTTTATAAAGCATCTTAAGTATTTTAAGCACCCTCTGACTATGCCATCCATTCCTGCTAGCAACCTTAAAAATATGTAGCACCAAAATAACTAAGAAGTTTGAGAAGTGACTCTGTAGTAAAGGTCATTATTAACCATGGTTAATAATGATGTTCCCATGGTCAAGGTGTACACATTGAGAGAGGAATTTCTTGAAGGACCCTCAAACAGGGGATTGGTTCCAAGGTCTAAATGTTGTATCAATGAGGGCAGGGGAGCCATGAAAGTCCTCTCCATTTTCTTGAACCATAACCTTAGGAGAAAAATATTCTCATCCAGCACAGGCAGGGCTACATTTTCACAGTGTTGTAAAATACAAGCCCTAGGGAATCAGGTCAGAGGCGAAGCCTCTCCTCTACAAGAACCTCACTGTCCGCATTTCCAGGAATGGCTATGGCCAGCAGAGCAGCTAATCCCACTGCCAGGAGGGAGGGAAGCCAAAGTGAGCCTCAAGTAACTGAGTACCAGGACATTCCAGTCTTCAAAATAGCTGCCTTCACCTCGTGGGCCATTTGGAGATAGCCATAACAGAACTTAGTAATGAAACCTTACCCAAAAGAAACAAGTTTCTGCCAGGCATTTTTGCTCAATCCCTTTGTTTTTGTTTTTTAATTTATCTTTCAATTACAGTTGACATACAATGTTATATTAGTTTCAAGTATACAACATAGTGATTAGACATTTATATAACTTACGAAGTGATCACCCTGATAAGTCTAGTACCCATCTGACACCATGCATAGTTATTACAATATTATCGACTATATTCCCTGTGCTGTACTCTGCATCCCTGTAACTATTTTTATAACTGGTAATTTGTGCTTCTTGCTCCCTTTCACCTTTTTTACCCATACCCCATCCCTGACCCCTCCAATCTGGCAACCGTCAACTAGTTCTCTGTATCTATGAGTTTGTTTCTGTTGTTTGTTTATTTTGAAATCATATGGTATTTGTCTTTCTCTGTCTGACTCGCAATAGACAAGATATGGAAGCAATCTAAGCATCCATCGATAGATGAATGAATAAAGAAGATGTGGCATATATATATATATGTGTGTGTGTGTAATGGAATATTACTCAGCCACAAAAAAGAATGAAATCAACTCCTTTGTTTTATTTTCCAGAGTTTCTTCCTCAGCTTAAATTTCTTCCCCCTAGTCACTCACTCCTTGGGTGGTTTATTTCTCCTCCAGGTATAATCATTCATATAGTAGATATTGTGGAACCGAAGTTTCTTTATCTCCTCCTCTTTCCTTATCACTGCCTCTAGTCTATTAAAGGGTGGGTGTCACCACCTTTAACCTTTTAGATTGTCTCAGGCCAGAATCTCGGTTTCTGATTCACCCTCCATGTGGTCATTGTTATTCTTACAGAAAAAAAAAGCCTGGTTTTACCTCTCCCTGGCTTAATACCATCTGGAAAATACCCATTGTCTGGACAAAGTTTAATTCCTTAACAATGTGTACACAATTCTTCTATGTCCCTTCACCCCTGATCAAAATTCACTTTTTGGCAAACCTACTTTCTTAGTTTGCTGCTTTCTGACAAATGACAGCTAGTTTTTTTTAACACCTTAGCCTAGAAGTTATTATTATTTTTTAATATATTTTTATTGATTTCAGAGAGAGGAAGGGAGAGGGAGAGGGAGACAGAAACATTGATGAGAGAGTCATTGATCAGCTGCCTCCTGCACGCCCCCGACTGGGGATCGAGCCAGCAATCCTGGCATGTGCCCTGACGGGGAATCTAACTGCCATCTCCTGGATCCTAGGTTGATGCTCAACCTCTGAGCCATGCCCAGCCGGGCCAGAAGTGATTTCTTAATGTACTATCTAGTACATGGTATCAGCTAGAGAGATATATCTCTGGAGATACCTGTAAGTATTTAGGGGGAAGGCTAGGGGGATGTTGTGCACGAACAGTATCCTAAAGTGGCGCTGTATTTTGCTTGCTCTGTGTGCTGGCAGTGGCAGCCCCAAAATCATGCAGTGCCAGGGTGTGGGTCTGGAGGAAATTGTTCAGGTTTCTCTCTCCCTCTCTTTCTCTCCTTTCCACTCTCTCTGAAAAGCAATGGGAAAAATATCCTCGGGTGAGGATTGAAAAAAATAACAATAAAAATAAAAGCAGGCCACTGGAGCCAGACTGGCTTCTGTTCTATACTGAGTGTGCTACTTACTCACTCTGTGATCTTGGATACTGCATCTGTAAAGTGAAGATAAATAATCACATTAACAACTACATAGGTTGTCATAGGGTTAAATGAGGTAATACAGGTAAAGCACTTAGCACATGTTAAGTGCCTGCCACAGAGGAAGTGTTCTACAAATGTCACATACCGATTGGTTTTCTTCACATGGGTCTTTTTTTTTTTTAGACAACTAACTGAACACAGTATTAAATTTCAATATTATTTTTTGAGTATGGGCTATTTTTGTCAGAAGCATACCAGGAAAGATTTAATAAGTATAGACAAGGGGGCCCAGGGATTTAATACCACATTTGCTGTCTTTAGGGATGAATTTTATTAGTCTTAACTGAATGACAGTATTTTCAGATTTAGAATGTGACATTTACTCTGATATTGTTAGCTTACGTAGTAGTTAAAAGCTGTATAGTAGGTAGTCCTCATGTATGTTAACTTCCTTTAGACTTATTTTCAAAAAATACATTTGTCTTTTTATCTCAGTGTATTGTATACCATTTAACCTAATTGTGACAAATTAAGGAATAAGATAGAACATGAAAAGTTTGTGGAAGCTTTTAATGTGTGTGTTAGCACAGGAAGACCCTAGAAAAAGTCTAGGGACTGAAAATCTGCCTCCTTAAGCAGTAGGGAAAGATGGCCACTCCAGCCTGATAATTAATAGAGCTTATTAAGGGAAACTTACATATGAGGAGAGTCATAGCATATGCCAGAGAATTACATAGAACAAGGTGGGCTAGTCACGAATACTAGTGCATAAATGCTACCAGGTATGGAAATTACGGGCTTAACCAGGTCAGAACAACAACCTGCTCCAGGAAGGAGCGCCTAGCAGGAGGCAGGGGAAGGGGGTCTTGTAAGTCAGAATGAACATGGATTACAATCAGACAGTCTCTCTGGAGAGTTGGTGGTAAGAAATCTCCTTTCTGGGCTGGGGCCAGCTCATGGGTCAGACTGCAGGAATGTGGTAATGGAACAGTCTCTCCTCCACAATGTGGGACACCTTAGGATATACATTTCTGCAGTGCTATTAATAGGCATGGCATCAAGGACAGTTTTTCAGACTTTGTGCTTCACTCTGGAGGAAAACAAGAGTATGGCATCTTGAATTTCTTCATTGGGTAACTTAGAACCCAGTTATGTGAACACCAGCTGCACATATCATGTTACCTGAGTTCAGCATCAAAGTTATAAACAAAACTAGTCATATGTTCTTTCAAAGCTGTTGCTATTCAAAACAAACACCCAAATCAACAAAATAATGTGAATAATTATGACCATAAATCTTTTTACTAACTCTCTGGTTTGGGCTTTTAAAAAACTCATTTCAAATTCTTAGTTCTACTCTACTCAAATAGACTACAGTAGCCAATACATGCGTGCTTACTATATTCCAGATGCTATACTGGACACTTGCTATACTAGTAACTTTTTATTCTGAGAACACTATACTTCATACAGCAGTTAGTTGCAGCTTTTCAATAATACAGCAACCTCAAGGAGAAGAAAGTTGGGAGCAATACCGAAAACTAAAGTATATAGAGTCTACAAACCAGTGTTCTTTGTATAGTTTTATGAACTAAAAACCTTGTATAACTTTTTTATTACTGTTCTAGAAAGGCGAGCGGCGTTTTTCAGGGGACTCTGTTCCACTTGGTCTGTCTCTGATGCCGTCAACCAGTAAAACCGTACTCATTCCGCTGCTGTGGGAAATAAGCAACAACGGAAAAGTAATAATAACTTTAGAGCTTGATTCGGTTGTCAGGACAGCTAAGGAAACGGGAGAGGAGCCCCCACCCCCAGCTCTTCCCGGGGCGGAGCACCTGCGGCTGCAGGGGGGGCGCACCCCAGTCCCGCGCGGCGCTGGAGGCGGGGTCCCAGGGGCTGAGGACGGGTGTGCGGCAGCGCGCGCCGCACCAGTTCTCGCGGACTCCGGGAGCGTGCGCAGGCGCGGGGTGCCCCGGAGGGAGCGATCGAGGTGGCGTTCGAGTGGGGTGCTGACCGGTGCCCGGCTCCGGGGACGATGAGACCCGGAGAGGAGCGCCCTGTGGAGGGGGGCGCCCGCGGCGGCGCCCCGGACCTGGAGCTGCTGGAGCTGCTGAAGCTGCGCGCGGCCGAGCGCATCGACCAGGCGGCCGAGCGCCTGGGGGCCCTGAGCCGCGCCATCTG